AATTTCTTAATTATCGTATGGGCCTTAATTAGTAACATTACCAGACTTGAGCTTTTTATAAGACCCAATCCAACCACATGAGCCCATTACCAAAGCCTTAGAAAAATACTATAAACATTGCCAAAACTTCTCTAATCCGATTACGTTTTCATTTGTACGTATTAGATCTGGACCGTCAAAACTAAAGAGTGGGAACTATGAAAGTATGAACTATGAAGTATTCACAGCTGATCTGAGCCGTAGAAACTATTGTTGCTTACATATCAGAGGCTAATTGTATCATCATCTAAACAAACCAACACAAGATAAGACCCCACAGTGGTTGTTCACCAACCCCAGTGAGACCATTCCAGAATGGGGGAGATTTTCTTCCTTGTAGAGCTGACAAATTCTTCTTTTGTTTGGGCTTAAAGTTACAAATACATTATTTATCTCCTTATTTAATTTTGCATTTTGATACTTCAAGGTAAACTGAAAGATAAAATTTAAGAATGTGTATACGATTCATAGAATTCTTCACATAAATGATAATAAATGAGAGCTGTACAAAAAAGAAGAAGAGACAAATTCTTTTCTAGAAGTTATTACAGCGGCTAAAGACTTCAAAAAACTTTGACAAATTTGTCAACAAACATATACCCAAAAATCCACTCTACAATAGTCACCAAATGTACGCTAATGCACAAACACCAAGTGACACACAACACATACGCATGCGTTACGTTTCCAACTTTCTCTCTATATATAATAAAAATAATGCACAGGGATGATACGTTCACAAGAGGGTGCAACAAAAGGACCAAGAAGCATTAGAAACAGAGAAAGAAAATCAAGAATGGGGAAAATGGAGTTGGAGAGGAAAACAACAGGATGGGCTGCGAGAGACCCATCTGGTTTACTTTCTCCTTACACTTACACTCTCAGGTTCATTTCATCTTCTTTCGATCTTTGAATCCTTCTGTGTTTTGAGTTTCATCACATGGGTTTGAGTTTGAACGTTTATTTTCTTACAGGGAGACAGGACCAGAGGATGTACACATCAGAATCATATGCTGTGGAATCTGCCACACTGATATTCATCACACTAAAAACGATTTCGGCACGTCTAACTACCCCATGGTTCCTGGGTACGTATTTCTTCTTCTTATTACTCCTCCTTAGATATATCCTAATAAATATTTAATTGAATCTAAAACTCAAGTTGATGTACTTTAGGCACGAGGTTGTAGGGGAAGTAGTAGAGATAGGATCAGGTGTGAGCAAGTTCACTGTAGGGGATATAGTTGGAGTTGGTTGTCTCGTTGGATGTTGCGGAGGTTGTAGCCCCTGCGAGAGGGATCTGGAACAGTATTGTCCCAAGAAGATCTGGAGCTACAACGATGTTTACATCGATGGTCAACCTACACAGGGTGGCTTTGCTAAAGCCACCGTCGTTCACCAAAAGTAAACATATATTATGACTTTATGACTTTCTAAAATACAGAACTCATGTGTCCATGATCTTTAATCTAGATTTTAGGTAATTGCTTTTGATATTGATACTAAATGATATTAAGGTTGGGTGGGTATTTGATTAACCCGTTCAAAAATGTTGATGAATATCATTTCTGTCATACTACTAGTTACTAGTAATGATTTTTAAAAACCATTAACACTTACAAACGAGGAATAATATTAGTTTAGAAAATATATTTTACTTATTATATACTCGAAGAGCTATGTATGAATTTGAATATTTTAAAATAACAATTGACCTTTTAAACGGCTCTTTAAGTTCTTGTTTCTTGTGAAACAAGTAAGGTATGTGTGGCTAAAGTTTGGTCAATTTGTGTTCAGGTTTGTGGTGAAGATTCCAGAAGGAATGGCGGTTGAGCAGGCAGCCCCTTTACTGTGCGCCGGTGTGACGGTGTACAGTCCACTGAGCCACTTTGGGCTGAAAAAACCAGGCCTAAGAGGAGGCATACTAGGGTTAGGTGGAGTTGGTCACATGGGTGTGAAAATAGCCAAGGCAATGGGTCACCATGTGACTGTCATAAGCTCATCAAACAAGAAGAGAGAAGAGGCTTTGCAAGATCTTGGAGCCGATGATTACGTGATCGGATCTGACCAAACAAAGATGAACGAATTGGCTGATTCAATGGATTACATAATAGACACGGTCCCTGTTCATCATGCACTTGAGCCTTACTTGTCTCTGCTTAGGCTTGATGGGAAACTCATACTCATGGGAGTCATCAACAACCCGTTACAGTTTCTCACTCCTATGGTTATAATTGGTGATCGATTTATAAAGACTCATTAAGTGAACCGTTATTAATGGTTGTGATTTATTGAGGAATATTAATTTGGGTTATGATGACGTTTTTAACTAGGGAGGAAAGTGATAACTGGGAGCTTCATAGGGAGCATGAAGGAAACAGAGGAAATGCTTGAGTTCTGTAAAGAAAAGGGTTTAAGTTCTATCATCGAAGTTGTGAAGATGGACTATGTGAACACTGCGCTTGAGAGACTTGAAAAGAATGATGTGCGTTATAGGTTCGTGGTCGATGTGCAAGGAAGCAAACTCGAGGCTTGATTTACTTGAAACTTAATCCCTCTTTTTTTTTCTTTACAAACAACATATTATTTACATGCGACCCATGTGAGAGATAACAATGTTACTAGGAATAAAACGTTTTTGTTTGAGCTTTTTTTTTTAATAATGAGTTACTTCGGTTAAGTAAGTTACTTGCCTTGAGTCCTTAGTTTGGCGTCAGACAATTGTAAAATAAACATAAAACTTATTAGGCGTTAATCATGTGGTGGTTGAGGAGCATGACGAGGCGGTGTTTGGCTTGATTTACAGTATATCTCTGGTGATGTCAGGTTTATGAGGTTAGTGGGGACTAATTTAAAACGTTACTGAATATCTATGTATTATATAATACACAGGAGAATTTGCCATTGATTATAAAATTGCATTACATATATATTTCTTTTTGGTCAAACACATTTGGTTGGCTAAGATTAGTCCAAATGCGTAGTTGTTAGATAAAGACCTTGTTCGGAAACGCGTTAGGCGCTATGCGTGCAGCACACACGGGCCTAGCGATTTATTGGAAAATCAGAAAAGAATCGGTGATTACGCGGGGAGGAATTTTTTATACTTTTATATGTATAATACAATAGTGTATGTATAATACCACATTTTATTCATATACTAAAAAATTATATAATACATGTTTAAGAAATATACATTATTAACACTAAAATTTATATATTTATAAATATTATACATGTTTATGAAGATAAAAATATATATAATACAGATCTGTATGTAAACCCATTTTAAGCCCAATCCAATTTTTCATTTTAAGCCCAATTTAATTTTTCGATCTTGTTTTATAACACTAAAACAAGATAATAAATAATAATAAAATAATCAAAAAAGAAGTATGTTAATTTTGTACCTCCCACATCAGTAGATAGTAAAAAGGGTGGACAAATTGAAGTAGTATAAATGAGATATGAGACGCTCACCAAAATTTCACAGGCTTCAGTTAAGCCAGGGCCCATAATTTCGTTAGGGCTTTAATTAATTGAAGAAAATTAATCGGGTACTAATCCGATTTTAAAGCGCATAATATAATTGTGCGGTCGCTTAATTAAGTGACGATTAGTTATGCCGATTTGGTCAAACTCGCGGCGGTTGACCTCCGTTTAACGTTTTATCGGCCGCGTTTGCGGCTACTCGGACGCGTTTTTGAACAAGGAGACAAGCGTGTCTCAGTGCTATGTGAGCTTTTTTTGGAACAGACTAGAGAGTCGGGCGAGAATATTTATTTAGGTTTAAAGCTGAAGAAAATTTAGTACACTTTTGGCATTTTTATATGATTCTTTCTTCCTCTTTTAAAAATTTTCTATCTTTGAATGAGTAATTTTGTATCCAAAACTTTTTGTGTATCAAGAAAAACATTCTTGGAACTGATAGTAACTAGACATTCTTATATTGTTGACTGAACTAACAAAAAATGTTCTGGATACTGCGTAAATTATGCAAAGCTTGTCAAAAGTGAAATGGCTAACGGTGATAGTCAACGTACGTAAACCTTTTGGAATTTGATCTTTCTTTCAAGCCTTGAACTGGGGAAACATGTCCAGAATGGGCTGCAGGCCTATAAAATTTTATAGTGATTGATGAGTATGGAAGAAAAGAGGAGGTAATTGGGCCCAAATTAAGGGCCTGTTGTCTAATTCAACATGTTTTGTTCTGTTTTTTAAACCACTCTAATCGAATAATATATCCTTAACCTCCTCTGTTTGACAATCTTAATTTGATTTAAATTTATAACCTTGAACAAGTCCTGTCTCATTTTTGGTGCGCTTCCGTATTCTCGTTGTGTTGTATGTCTGATTTGGGGTTCCTTTCGTCTCTGTCGGGATTCTAGGCTTCCTTAGTTCCTTTTATTCTTTTTTCTTTTTTTTTCGTCTTCCTTTTATTCTTTCTTATTTCAGAAATTTAGACTATTTGCAAATAATTCCACTTTGGGTTTCTCACAATTATTGGGTTTATTTATTTCTTTCTTTATTGGTAGCGTATACATTTTTTCCTTCTTCTTAAATAAAACAAAAAAAAAGTGTGATACTTTAGTAATGTTGTACGATACGACAATATTTATAATGTCAAAAGAACCCACCTATAGCATGACAAGTGTCAGTGTATAACAAGCGATCTATGTTTATATAGTAAGAAGCGCCTTTTGCCCTAAATAAACATAAACTTATTTCTTTCCTTTTGTGGGCTCTTCTGCTCTGCTCTTTCTCTTTCTTTCTATTTCTAACTTCTGATCAAAAAAACCACATTGATTTTCATCTACCTTGAGCAGATCTGTTTTCTCTTAGAATTTTCTGGCAAAAAGGTAACTAATTTCGATTTTATTTAATTTAGTTTAAATTATCTCGCCCTTAATTTGCGGAGCTTGACGATGTTTTTGGATGAATTGGATTTGAAGGTGTAAGAAATGGGAAGGGGAAAGATCGCGATCAAGAGGATCGATAACTCCACGAGCCGTCAGGTGACTTTCTCCAAGCGAAGGAACGGACTCTTGAAGAAAGCTAAGGAGCTTGCGATTCTCTGCGATGCAGAGGTTGGTGTCATCATCTTCTCCAGCACCGGCAGGCTATACGATTTCTCCAGCTCAAGGTATGGAACTTTCCTGTGTTCTATGTTTGGTTGACTTTTGGTCCATTGTGATTGATTAAAGTGCCTTAGCCATGATCCATCATGTTTTGTTGACCACAAACCAATTTTTTTATTTTATTTTTTGTAAAATTCACAAACCAATTTAATTAGTCAGATTCATATTACATGACAGTGGTTGAAGTTTAATTACATCACTTAGTTGGAAAATAAAACAAGGCGTGATATGTGTGTATTGCTGCTGAGATACAGGACAGGACAAAGGTCAAATGTATTTAGAATTAGATAGGACTAGAAGAATGGATGGAGATTTGTGAAAATCGTAAATCTTAAGGGACTAGTAGTGTTTCTCGTAATCATACTAAATTTGGTATAAAATTATTTTCACAAGGAATAAAAGTGGTTAGTGGTTGAGCAGAAGAAACTCTTAACCCTCTCTTCTTGGTTTAGTTTAAGGTTTTTTTTAAAAGAAAGAATCGTTTATTGAGGAGCTATTTGCATTTTTTCTTTATTGGCAACTTGTTATAATTGGCGCGTTGGATGGACCTAACATGATTTAATGCTAAATATATTTACGCACTAGTGGGGGAATCATTTCTGCTTTCGTTTCCATAATCAATTTTTTTTTCTATTTAATTTATCCCAATTGGGGTATAAATAATCAACTTTTCCTATTTAACTTATCCCAATTGGGATATAAAACACCCCATTTTAATGCTCCACATTCAGCTTGGTCATTTTTAATATGAGTATATTCTTTCTTTTTTGGGAAAACATTATATATACGTATCAATCATATTTTAATCCCTTCTGATTTTAGACTTTATGAGGAGTTCCTTGAAGTAAAACTTAAAAATTATACTATAAAGTAAAAAAGATAATCAAAAAAGTAAGTGTAGATTCAGAAGACTTCATCCATGAGATTGGAGCATTAGGTTTAAGATGCAATGGTGTTAGAGGGTCCTTCACATTTTTGTTTCTCTAATTCACTACTTGTGAGCTGATAACAATAATATCTATACTCTGGTTTGGTGATTAGAGTTTGCCGCTTCTACATCATTTTTGCCTCATTTACATCATGATCATCTGCTTAAGCTTCATGCATAAATATATTCTTGACTAAAAGTAATGACACTGACAATATGTAAAAAGAAATGTTGCAGTGGATGTTGCTTGCATTACCTTACCTGCTAAATACACTCCTGCGAATATACAACTTACCTTCTTTTTGTTTGGCAGCATGAAATCGGTGATAGAGAGATACAACGAGGTCAAATGTGAAAACAATTTGGAAATGAACTCAGCTTCAGAAATCAAGGTACTCCTCTTTTGGTTCAGTTTCTAATGATTATCTTCACTATGGAGTTAAAACTAGGAATTCAGAGAATCGATTTTGTAGATGAGTAACGAATAAAAGAATCAAGTAACATAGTAAAACAGAGAGACTATATTATTTGGTGCTTTTGGTAATGTTAGCCTATTAATTAACATATCAATCTCAAAAACAAAAACTTGTTTTCTCAGTTTCAATTACGTGACAATAATACAGTTTTGGCAAAAAGAGGCAGCGATCCTGAAGCGACAGCTACATAACTTGCAAGAAAACCACCGGTATGTTTTGCATCCTCTGAGCTCGTCAAACACTCTCGATATTAACAAACTATGACAGGGCTATAAGATTTTGCAGAAAAGTAAAACTATCCTAGCATTTGCATATTAATTTTTAATAAGAATGTTGTAGATATTGAAAAGAATATTCCAAACTGATTTTACCAACTCTTAAAGGACTTTACCATGATGCTGGTGGATATCTTCCCCAAAATCACCACTGTATATAATTACTCTGGAAAAGTTTGCATATTCACAAGTGATGGAGGAAGAGCTTGTACTTGGCAGGCAAATGATGGGGGAAGAGCTCTCTGGACTAAACGTGGAAGATTTACAAAAACTGGAGAATCAGCTTGAGTTGAGCCTTCGTGACGTACGAATGAAAAAGGTATTTGATGTTGTAACATATAAGCCAATAATTTTTTTTTTATCTTAACAAAACATTTGGAAAATAAGTAATAACGTGTTCTACTCATATCTAATAAAAATCTTTCACGTTTGTAGGATCAAATGTTAGTCGAAGAAATACAAGAGCTTAACCGTGAGGTGGGAATCTGATTAACTATAGAAGTTAGTCAGTTCCAACAATGTTGGTACAATTTGCTAATCATATAATTTTGGTAGCAGGCGGATCTCATGCACCAAGAGAATTTGGAACTCCACAAGAAAGTAAACCTAATGCGACAACAGAATATGGAGTTACATAAGAAGGTATCTTTGGTTTTGAGAGGCAGAAATTGTCTTTAAGAAACTACAAAATTGGTATCTTATGAATTAAGGATAATGTAAATATGTCTACTACTTGCAGGTTTCAGAGGTTGAAACTGTTAAAAGCTCAGAGAAAACTTCTCTTCTCACAAATGGTCTAGGCATGAGAGATAACTCGAGCGAACATGTCTATCTTCAGCTCAGCCAACCGCTGCAGCATGATGAGACACATTCAAAAGCTGTCCAGCTAAACTATTTCTCTTTCATTTCATAATATATATTTCAGTTTTAGCTGTAGCTGCTTGCCACTGCATAAGCAAAGAAAACAAACATGAGCAGACTGTAATGTTTTCGATCAATACACCAACTTTGTTTTAACTTTCTCTCAGCAAAGAACTTTGGCTTCGGGTTTAAGTATGTACTGCGATGGTTCGGAGAAATGTCAAATATATTCGTATATATCAAATTTTTCTATAAAAAAGTTGTAGTTATTATTATTATTATTTTTTTTTTGTCAACAGTAGTCAAATTTCTCTAAGATATTTATTTTTGTGAAAATTTTTAACTACTTCTCTTGATCACATGTAACGTATCCAGTGTTGTGGGGTGAGGAAATGGGCCACAGGCCTATAAAAATCTGTGGTGTGAATATGGTAAGGAGTTCACATGGGCTTATCTGCTTCCGACAATAAAAACACGCATTCAATGAGTGTAAATTTGTCGAGATTCTTTTGGTAATATTCCCTTCATTTCTTAATAGATTTAGAGAACTAAATCCTAGAAAAAAACTTAACTGAATTATATGATGAAATTTCAATCTCAAAAGTACAGTTAAATCATTGCCACTCAATACCCAAACACAATTTTCCTAGATGAGACACTTGCACTCAGCTAAGAAGAGCTGAAAGTAAACATAACTATAAAATAAAAACAGAAAGGGAATATAGAATACAAAGAGAGTAACGACATCAACCCGTGATCGTCATGACTCATGTCGAAGGCCATCAGAGTGATATACTTGAATTATTGTATCTTTTTTTACTTATGTCCAAAAAACTTATCTTGTATGTTTAGAAAATGGACTAGGTTTAATCCCCATCATATCGATGGGCACTGAACCTTTTATAAACGCACATGTGACATTTTAAATGATTACTCTATGAAATTTCTCCATCGAATTTTATACACTCATGACTCAACTAAAAGTCATGAAAAATATATTTTATGAGAAAAAAAAATGTAAGAAGTAACATCTTATGATACATCTTCATTGGGAATCAGATCAGGACTTTGTATGTTTGGCCATTGATAATAAGTTAATAACATAAACTCTGATGTGTTTAGTTTTTAGTTTTCTTATATGTTTGTGTCTAGGTCTAGCTACAATCCTAATCAATAAACTACCACATGTGCTTATCTACTGTGAGATCAACATACAAATATTATAATCTCTTTATTCACAATTTACCTTGATATACACCACACGGTTTAGCCACTTATATTTCGGACAACACTGTCGTTTTTTTCTGGTCTCCATTTTCTCTCATTCGAATCTTAATTCACACGAAACCAAATAACATGGACCACTCCACCCTTTGTTTACATTCGTCTACGGTCTACACTAAAAGCCATGCGGCCATTAGCCTTTCCACTGGTGGCTTTTCTGTTTTCTTTCCCAAATCCTTTTTTCTTTTATTACGTTAATGGCTTCTCTCACTTACACTGGTTACATATGTTTTTTTCTTAAAACAAAACTAATTCAATATCATATGATATGACTAACTAATTTCTTTGTTACAATAAGGAATATTTTCAACATTTTGAGTTTTCCTGAAGACTCGGTTTGTCATGTGAACATGGATTTTACCTAACAGTCAAGCTCTGCAATGTCAATTTTCATTTAAAAAACTTGTTGTTATTATGATATTTTATTTCAAAAATAATTAAATTAAAGATGAGGATAACTGACATGTCAGTTTTGTATTCCTTGTTTTGTCTTTGATTTATATGTATGGTGTTCATTTCACACGAAGGAACCGAACCTCTTTGTTTAAACCTAATCGATTCTCCTTTTTAACTTCTGCTGAGAGGACAAAGTACTAGATTAAAAAAAAAAATTACCAGTATCAAATATGTACTATTAATCTTAGTCAGTTTAGTCGGTGATTTAGTCATTTTTAACACTTTCTTGATTCTACGGACCACATTTTCCAAATAAACTGCATGACTTCTATTCTAAAGTAAAAAGCTATTTTCACATTTGGGAAACCTCATGAAGTGTGGTTTGTTTATTTCTTTTGGTAAAACCACGGATCAGCCAAAAGCAAACGGTAATAATTATTCTGTCTCCCATGAATTGCTTTTTCTGGTTGAATAAAATAAATATTTAATATTTGAGAGCTGCTCATTTACATTTTTACACTGATGAATAGTGATCCAGAATCATTGATTCCTACACCTTGTCCCCATGTCTAGTCAAAAAGCTTCTTTCATCAACTCCGGCTCACAAAATTACCTCTCTCTCCTCTCCATCATCATCTCAGAGATTACTCCAATAACACAAAGATTTGGTGACCAAAACAACTATTACTTGCAGTGGTTCAACCTCTCTCCCTATTCTCTCTCTTTCTCTTATGACTACGCATAGCCATATGTAATGATAAGAGAGGTTGATACTTACAACTAAGAAACCATGACTTTCAACCGAAGCAACCTCTTCTCATTATTCCTCCTCCACCTTCTAGTCCCCACACAAGTCCAAGCTCTCAACACTGATGGTGTTCTTTTGCTATCTTTCAAATACTCTATCCTCAATGACCCTCTCTCTGTTCTACGCAACTGGAACTATGACGATGAAACACCATGCTTGTGGACAGGTGTCACATGCACAGAGCTTGGGAAACCCAGCACACCAGACATGTTCAGAGTCACAAGCTTGGTACTTCCCAACAAACACCTTCTTGGCTCCATCGCTCCGGACTTGTTCTCCATCCCGCATCTAAGGATCTTGGATCTGTCCAGCAACTTCTTCAACGGGTCACTCCCAGACTTAAACGCCACTGAGCTTAGTATCATCTCCCTTGGAAGCAACAATCTCTCTGGTGATTTGCCTGCGAGTATCAACAGTGCGACAAACCTCCAGCTCCTGAACCTCTCTTCCAACGCATTCACCGGAAAACTACCGCCCAGCCTCTCACTTCTGAAGAATCTAACGGTCGTTTCCTTGACAAAGAACTCCTTCTCAGGAGATATTCCGGGTGGTTTCGAAGCTGTACAAGTTCTTGACCTTTCTTCAAACCTTTTAAACGGCTCTCTCCCTCCGGACTTGGGAGGGAGAAGCTTGCATTACTTGAGCTTATCACACAACAACGTCTCCGGGGTGGTTCCTCCAGGGTTTGCAGACAAGTTTCCAGCAAACGCTACAATCGACCTCTCCTTCAACAACCTAACAGGCCCAATCCCTAGCTCCCTCTCTCTACTTAACCAAAAGGCAGAGTCTTTCTCTGGTAATCCAGAGTTGTGTGGGAAACCATTAAAGACCCTTTGCTCAATCCCTTCAACTCTTTCAAACCCTCCAAACAAACCTGAAAACACTTCACCTGCTATAGCTGTCAAGCCAAGAAACTCAGCTCCTCCAACAAACTCATCAACAGAGTCACCAAACCAAACTGTGAAAAGCAAGCTAAAGCCAAGCACCATCGCCGGAATCATTGTTGCAGACATAGTTGGTCTAGCTATCATAGCTCTCTTTGTCCTCTACGTTTACCAAGTCAGGAAACGAAGAAGGTCCCCAGAGTCCAACACTTTCAGCCTCTTCACAATCTGTCTAGACAAAAACGAAGCCAAGAAATCAAAACCAAGCGTCGTCATGGAGGTCAACGTCACAGAATCACCAGATGCTAAAACGGCTTGTGGCTCGTGCATCAACGGAGGAAGGTACGACGAGACGTCGACGTCAGAGAGCGACGTAGAGAATCAGCAAACCGTTAAGGCATTTGATCGAACAGATGGTGGGCGGCGACTGAAACAGAGCACTCAAACGCAACTAATCACAGTCGACGGAGAGACTCGGCTGGATTTGGATACTCTACTAAAGGCTTCTGCTTACGTATTGGGAACTAACGTAAGTAGAATCGTGTACAAGGCGGTTCTTGAAAACGGCACGGCTTTCGCGGTGCGGAGGATAGAAACAGAGAGCTGTGTGACGACGAAAGTTAAGGAATTTGAGCGGGAGGTTCGTGTTATCGCTAAGCTTCGACATCCGAATCTCGTTAGGATTCGTGGGTTCTGCTGGGGAAACGACGAGAAGCTTCTAATTTCTGACTTTGTTCCTAACGGTAGCCTTCTTAGCTCATTCAACGCGAGTAAGTTCCTCTGTTTCCTCTGTTTACTCTGTTTTATTAGGCGCACGAAACTAAAATACGCACATTACTCGGTGCATTTTAGCACTTTAAAATACGCACATCACTCTGCTTTGTAACTAACACTCCTTTTGTTTCTTTACAAACAGCTAAGTCAAGCGCAAGCTCGTCTACGCCGTCTATGCAACACCCACTTTCTTTCGAGGCACGGCTCAAGATAGCTAAAGGAATGACACGTGGACTATCTTACATCAACGAGAAGAAACACGTGCACGGTAACATCAAGCCCAATAACATTCTCTTGAACTCTGAGAATGAGCCAATCATCACCGATCTTGGTCTAGACCGCCTCATGACACGGGCGCGTGAGCCTCACACCAATGGACCAACTTCGAGCTTACCTTGCTACCAGCCACCGGAAAGGAGTACAAGCGAGAAGCCAAACCCTAAGTGGGACGTTTATTCCTTCGGCGTCATTCTATTAGAGCTTCTCACAGGGAAAACTTTTTCGGTTGAACAAGATGTAGATCAGTGGTCAGAGTTACTCCACGGTTCTGAAGCTGAAGAGAAAGGGCGGTTCTTGAGGTTAATCGATGGTTCGATTAGAAGCGAAGTAGCTCGGCACGAAGATGCTGCAATGGTGTGTTTTAGGTTAGGGATTGAATGTGTGTCTTCCTTGCCTCAGAAGCGACCGTCTATGAAGGAAGTAGTGCAAGTGTTGGATAAAGTGAGTGTTTAGTTTGGTTTCTTCAAGCCGAAGTCGTTGGCATTTGTAGAAAGTGTGTTTATTACATGTGTTGCTTACTCTACAGTCGTATAAGCTGTGTATTTCCTTCTAACTCTTTGTTTTTTTTTTGGTTAGTTAATTAACCACCTTAAATAAGCTTCGTTAGTTCATTTAAAACTTGCCACAGATACAGTAGATCGGTTAAACCAAGTCCAATTTGATCGAAATAACCAATTGAACCGGATTTTCGATCTTAAACAAACAAACCGAACGATATAATTTGGGGTCTAGACGATATAATTCTACGTACATTTATATAAATAATTTTGTTTTAATTTTTCTTATAAAATTATTTTTCTAAATTATTAAAATATCCTATACAAATAAATAAATTAGATAAATTTATGGATTTATACTTATGTAATGTTCAACAAATTTAGATTTAAATCGATTTAAACCAATTTGAATCATAATAAAATTTTCAAAAAATCGTTTCATTTACGTAAACTGGTTAAACCAAGTCATTTTGATTCAAATTGGCTTAAATCGATTTAAATCTAAATTCGTAAACTGGTTATAAACCAAGTCAAATTTGATCGTAATAACCAATTAAACCGGAGTTATAATCTTAAACAAACAAACCAAATGAACCGAACCAAGTTTTAAAAGCTCACGCTTACTCATCATCACTACCAAACTCTTTTTCCGACCAGACATTTCGAATCAGCATATATCTCCGACAACACACTTACGGTGATCTCTGTCTAAAAAAACATTTTCTCTTCTCATAAACATCTCTACCAAAGAGTTACCAAAAATGGAAGGAAGATCTACCACCACCTCCGCCGCGGAGTCACCGGAGATCCAATCCCATCCTCCGAACCCCCCAAATCAGATCTTCATCCTCTCCGGACAAAGCAACATGGCCGGACGCGGCGGCGTCATCAAAGATCACCACAACAACCGCTGGGTATGGGACAAAATCGTCCCTTCAGAATGCGCACCGGACTCATCCATCCTCCGCCTGAAAGCAGATCTCCGGTGGGAGGAAGCGCGTGAGCCTCTCCACGCCGACATCGACACGGGAAAAGTGTGCGGTGTAGGTCCAGGGATGGCGTTCGCAAACGCCGTGAAGAAACGGTCTAACTCAGATTCCGACGTGATCGGACTTGTTCCGTGCGCCGCCGGTGGAACGGCGATAAAGGAGTGGGAGCGTGGGAGTCGTTTGTACGAGTCCATGGTTAAGAGAGCGGAGGAGAGTAGGAGATGTGGTGGAGAGATTAAAGCGATGCTTTGGTATCAAGGAGAGAGTGACGTGTTGGACATCCATGACGCTGAGAGTTACGGGAGTAATATGACACGTTTGGTGAAGAACCTTCGTCATGATCTTAATCTTCCTTCTCTTCCTATTATTCAGGTAACGCGAAAAGTGTTTTTCTCTTTTACATTGTGAATGTTTTTTTTTTTTTTTTACAAAGTGTGTTGGTTGAGGCAGGTGGCGATAGCATCGGGAGGAGGATATATAGATAAGGTGAGGGAAGCACAGTTGGGTCTGAAACTTTCTAATGTGGTTTGTGTTGATGCTAAAGGTTTGCAGTTAAAGCCTGATAATCTTCACTTAACTACTGAGGCTCAAGTTCAGCTTGGTCTTTCTTTAGCACAAGCTTACCTTTCCAACTTCTGCTAGACTATCGAGTAAGTTTGTGTTAAAGCTTAATGGCTCTCTCCGTTAGTGTACTTGTTATATGGATAATGAGTGAGGAGACATGTAGTAATGGAGTGGTAAAACATTAATGGTCAGAGTTGAGAATAATCAGTTTGTTCTAGAGATTGATTCTGACATCAATGAATATATAGGATCTTCTTAGCACTTTCATGTTTAGTCCTTTTAATTATGAATCTGTGGTCTTGAAGTTATGAATGATCATGTTGGTGCACTCCATTATACATATGGTTCACAGAGGAACACGAGAAATGTAAACCATGTTATATTAGTATTACCACTAGTATGGAAAAAGATTGTATTTGTGAGTTGATGTTGAATATGTTTTTATTTTTCAGGTTCTTCCGTGTTGAAGAAGTGAGGTGCAGTTTGAGTGATGGTACTGATGTACGGACTATATAACTCTTTCACCTATAGAGCACAGATTATTATTCTCCATTGTCACGTTGAAACAATCTGCTTCTCTTTGTAAAATATTTTGAATAAACTGTGTTCCATATGAACAATCCTTTTGTTGTTGTTTCTATTGTATCTTTGTTTCGACCTAAATATGATAATACAACTGAAATCGGTTTTTATTTTTGTAAAGAATTGTCTATTTAAGGCCCAAGTCATGAACAAAGTCACAAAACCAAAGTGGTTCTATAATCAATAGATTTTTGAAAACATAGAGCAAATTCAAGGGATTTTTTTTCCAAATTTGAAAAATATTACTTCAAGTAATCCCAAGTAATTATACCCTTTTTTGTTTGTTTTTCGTGATCCCAAGCAATTATACCTTTTCAATCAACAAAAGCTAATTATACAAGAAAACGAACAGTAACAAAAAAAAACAGTATGTAAAGCATAATGAATGTTAATGGGTTTTCGACAGGTCGACCTACCAAAAACAATGCATCTTTAAGTAGTTGCAGACACTTTCACGTGCCATAAACTAAATTTACGTCATAGCCACCAGTATATCCTTTTAAATATTCCCCAGTAACACCTACTACTGTAATATTTGACTACCAAACGAAATAATGACGTTGTTGTACTATACAGTAATATAATATATCAATTTTTTTTATGTGTATGTTAAGCTGACTAATGAGCAACTTGCCTTGAACATTGAATTGGATACTCTATGCAACTCAATTTCAATTCAGATTTGAAGTCCTCAACTATTTTTCAATTACTGAAAGTGCAACTCTCTTTAGTGTATACCTAGTTTTTAAATGGACCCTAAACAAGGACAGTTGCTTTTTAGAATCATTAATCTATTACTAGGTTATAAAGTTTAGCATGTCAATTCTCTGCTGCAATATTGTTTTATAGGTACACCACAATCCCTTGCTTTTTTTTTAAAAAAAAAAATTCTTTCTTGGGGTCAATGATGAACATCGTTATACATGCGATTAAAGGCAACGATAAAACAAGGAAACAAACTGCTGGCAGGCCAAGACAAAATTCAATTAACTCGACTAAATAAATGAATTTTCCATATATGAATTTTTATTTGACTCAGCTCCTAATAAGCAAAACAATTTTGTTTTGTGTTTTCCTTGGGTTCAGTATTAAACATATACTAATGTATCTCAAATCTTAATATTGCAGCAATGATCTTCCAGACCCCACCATGTTAAGGCTTCACGATCTAACTTTGCAGTGCCAAAATCCTCGAAGATGTAAATTAATTTGACTTTTCCTCAAAGTTGCCAATATTTTCTGACTAGTTTACAGTTTTCCTTTAATAGATGCACAACTCTATTCGCCGAAACTTTTGGAAACCACAAACGCCCATTCTCAACCCTGAAAAGTATACCCACTCGCAACACCAACGTAAATTAATATAAATCCTTAATTATTTATAAACTTAAATGATTAGTAATCTAATTAGCTTAAATAAAATTTACGTCAATAAAAATTCACTATAGTACTCATAATTAAAAGATCAAGGTAAAAAGCTTTCTATAATCATGTCTTTGGTCAGACAAAAAGTTGTTGCAGTTGATGTTTCCGCGCAATCGCATATATATTCCACGAAGGCGCGTGAGATTCCATCCCCCGTCTCCTCCAATATCTCACAATCACACCAAACCACTATAAAAAAAACACTAACATCACTTTAGATCTCTCTCCCTCGTGCCACCAACAACACTTCCTAACCACTCTCTCCACAAAAGTCGGTAGCAATGTCAGCCGCCGCATCATCCGCGATCTCCATCGCCACCACCAAGCCCCTCAAGAACTTGTCCCTCTCCTCCAGATCGCCTCTCCCTTCCGCCACATCCATCTCTTTCCCCACTCCTCGCCGCCGCCTCATCCTCGTGGCCTGCACCGCGGGAGACGAATCCAAACCTACGATCCTCGTCGCCGAGAAGCTCGGTGAGGCTGGTGTGAAGCTTTTGGAGGATTTCGCGAACGTCGACTGCTCTTACAACCTGACTCCCGAGGAGCTCAACACCAAGATCTCGCTTTGTGACGCGTTGATCGTTAGGAGTGGGACCAAGGTTGGACGCGAGGTGTTTGAATCTTCTCGTGGTAGGCTCAAGGTTGTTGGACGCGCTGGTGTTGGGATCGATAACGTGGATCTGAGTGCAGCAACTGAGTTTGGTTGTCTTGTTGTTAACGCGCCGACGGCGAACACGATCGCTGCCGCTGAGCATGGGATCGCGCTTTTGGCTGGCATGGCTAGGAACGTTGCTCAAGCTGATGCGTCTGTTAAGGCTGGTTAGTTTCATAATTATGAAATATTCATTATTGTTATTGTTAATGTTTAAGAAATTTATAGGCAGTAATTAGGTATTCGAGATTATTGATTAGGCGGGCGTCTAAGCTGATTTTTGGAACATATGATCTTTTAAAAAATGCAGTAATTAGGTATTCGGGATTATTGATTAGGCGGGCGTCTAAGCTGATTTTTGGAACATATGATCTTTTAAAAAATGCAGTAATTAGGTATTCGGGATTATTGATTAGGCGGGCGTCTAAGCCGATTTCTCTGGAATATATAATCTTTTAGAAAACTGTTCAAGAAAAATTTGATTTGCTGTCTAGACTGATTTTTATAATACTATGTTTTGTTCTTTTGATACGGTTTACGATGCCTTGGATTACAAGTCTAGTTGTATTATGCTAAATAAGCATTTGAGTCTTGAGGATAATTTTTATCTTCGATTTGAATCTCTCTGTAATGCAGGTGAGTGGAAGAGGAACAAGTATGTGGGTGTTTCACTCGTTGGAAAGACTCTTGCAGTGATGGGATTCGGGAAAGTTGGGACTGAAGTTGCACGTCGTGCCAAAGGTCTTGGCATGCGTGTCATTGCTCATGATCCCTATGCACCAGCAGACCGTGCACACGCCATTGGTGTTGATCTTGTGAGCTTTGATGAAGCCTTGGCCACCGCGGATTTCATTTCTCTACACATGCCTCTTACGCCAGCAACATCGAAGATACTGAATGATGAGACCTTTGCCAAGATGAAGAAAGGAGTTCGTATTGTTAATGTTGCTCGTGGAGGTGTTATAGACGAAGACGCGTTGGTGAGGGCTCTGGATGCTGGTATTGTTGCTCAGGCTGCTCTTGATGTGTTTACTAAAGAGCCACCTGCTAAAGATAGTCCTCTAGTCCAGCATGAGAGGGTTACTGTGACACCTCATCTTGGAGCCAGCACAATGGAAGCTCAGGTTTGCAAATTTTTTTGTTATGATTTTAATAATGTTTATAACACTCTGCACCAATGCAACACAAAGTGTAAAACAGTTTTTTTTTTTTGTGTTTGAATTAATTAAACATTCTTTCAACAACAAAAAAATTATTTAATAATGTTTTTCTGTTTGGTTTCTGATAATTGAGTTGATGTTTTGGCTTTGACAGGAAGGAGTTGCCATTGAAATTGCTGAAGCTGTTGTTGGAGCTCTAAATGGTGAGCTTGCTGCTACTGCTGTCAATGCACCTATGGTTTCTGCTGAGGTGAGCACACAAGTTGTTTCTGCATCATCAGATTTAAAGATATAAATGTCTTGATCTCTTCTTGTTTAATGAGATTATAATAACCTTTGATAAAGTTAAGCTAGCATAGGATTGTATGTAGAAGATTAGATCTGTTCTAAGTTGGTTACAGAATAGCATTTTCATATTTCAATTATATATTTATTATTTGCTCAAGCTTACATGATATGTTTCTATCCACAGGTTCTGACCGAGCTAAAACCATATGTGATACTAGCCGAGAAGCTAGGGAGACTAGCGGTGCAGCTAGTGGCTGGAGGAAGCGGCGTGAAGAACGTGAAGGTCTCATACACGTCAGCACGAGCCACTGACGATCTAGACACAAGACTTCTACGAGCGATGATCACCAAGGGACTCATAGAGCCAATCTCTGACGTGTATGTCAACTTGGTCAACGCAGATTTCACTGCTAAGCAGAGAGGTCTGAGACTCTCAGAGGAGCGTGTTCTCTTGGACGGTTCACCAGAGAACCCGTTGGAGACAATAACTGTTCAGCTAGGGAACGTGGAGTCAAAATTCGCGAGCTCGTTGTCTGAATCAGGAGAGGTGAGAGTGGAAGGAAAGGTTAAAGATGGAGTCCCGCATTTGACAAAGGTTGGATCGTTTGAGGTGGATGTGACTCTTGAAGGTAGTATTATTCTGTGTAGGCAGGTGGATCAACCAGGTATGATAGGGACGGTGGGGAGTATACTTGGAGAGTCTAATGTGAATGTGAACTTCATGAGTGTTGGGAGAATAGCACCGAGGAAGCAAGCGATCATGGCGATTGGTGTTGATGATCAGCCAAGCAAGGAGACTCTTAAGAAGATTGGGGAGATCCCAGCGGTGGAGGAGTTTGTTTTCCTCAAGGTTTAGTTTGTTGTGTGTGTTTGATTATTGAAGCTTGAATGTGAGGAGTTTGATGAAGGGTTTTGTCGTTTGTTGGGTCAAGGCAATAATGTTATCTTTGGCTTTTTATTACACAGTTTTGGTTATGTTGAGAACAGTATTACTAGTAGTATCTTTGAGGTTTCAACTTTATGGTTCTCATTATTCTGAGTGCTTTCTTCTCTGGTTAATTTTACTATTTCTTCACTTATATAGAGAAACAATACAAAAAGATGATTTGCATCCTCAAATCTAATCAATGAGTTGAGGCATGTAGCATATTCATGTTACTTTTAAAATAGCTTTAGTTTATTAAAATTTGATGACCAATAATACTTTACTATATTATTAATGATTGCTTAACTCATTTTAAATTCATATTTTTAATAGTATTTTTTTTTTAAACCTAAGTATTTTTTATTTTTCTGCTTTTAATCAAAACATCTTATATCATGGAATTGAGAGAATATATCACAAAATGTTTGAACTAAACTGAAATACTATAAAACAACATAAAACCAACCAACCAAAAGGAAAATTTAAATTGGTTTGCTTTGGTTTAGTCTAGATAATCTAGACCGGTTTGTATAAAACTTTTAAACGCCGTCGTTTTGGAAAAGATATGAACTTAATGAGTGGTGTGGAAACACGTGTCGCACGCTCCGACAGATAACTTTGTGCGGCTCATGACAAGGAAGATGAAAAGGTAGTAGAAGCAGAAAGGAGGAGAAGAAGAAGAAGGGTGGCGCGAATTAGATATTAACAACATAGAAAGAAGATGGCCTTATCACAAGTCTCTGCGTCTCTCGCCTTCTCTCTTTCCAGTACTGTTCTGCTCTCTCTCTCTTCTGTACGTTTCTTCTTCTAGTAGTAGCCTCTGTATCTTGTATTTGACTAGTTTTGGATTCTGTCTGACAGATCCTGGCGCCATAAAGCTAGGCAGAATCACAAACCCTTGTAGGGTTCATGTACCGCAACTTGCTGGAAGCCGATCCACCTTCGCGTCTGGTTCTCCTCTGTGTACGTCTTCCTTTCCCCCCTGAGATGCTGTTTCCACTTTTTTCTAATCTGAAATTTGAGTATTGTCTTTGCAACCTGTTTCTTGCTTTGGAGATTTCTTCCAAACTTTATTTTCTTAATTTTGAATTGTTGTTGTCTGACTCTGTTTCAGTGCCATTGAACTTGAGAGTGATTCGTGGAGGAGGAAGAAGTGAGAACAGAAGAGGAGCATCAGTTTCCATCAGAAGCGAGCAAAGTTCAGAAGGAGGCAGCGGTTTGGACATATGGCTTGGTCGTGGAGCTATGATTGGTTTTGCTGTCGCCATTACTGTTGAGATTGCCACTGGTAAAGGTCTTCTTGAGGTAACTGACTCTCTACCATCACAACTCTTATCTTTTACATTGATAACTAGAGTTGTGATCTAATATGTCTTATTGTTTGTTCTTTTTGGTTCAGAACTTTGGGGTAGCGAGTCCATTGCCTACCGTTGCTTTGGCTGTTACAGCATTAGTTGGTGTTCTAACTGCGGTTTTCATCTTCCAGTCTTCTTCTAAGAACTGATAAAAGTCGACCACATGTGTTTATTGTCATCATTTTCTTGTAGTAAAGATTCTTCTTCCATATCTCTTCTTTCATCAGAATGCAAATCCCTCTTTAGTTTTTCTTTTCGCTCTGAAATGTTTTTTGAATTATGATTGTGTATCAACTACAAGATGCCTGAACATATGCAAACCAAAGTAAACCGAAGATGCAACCATATATATGTCATCTGCATTACACTGAAACTCTCACTTCAATGAACCGACAAACTGGCTCAAAACTGTTGTCTGTAACAATAGCATTCCCCAGGGGGCCTTTATTGAATAAATAAATACAGAAGAAAAAAGGAGAAAACAAAGCAGAAAGTATACACATAGCAGATTATGGAGGACAAATAATAAAGAGATGGTCTTGGAATGTATAACTGACATAAGAAGCAGAGGCAGGAGTTGGTGCAGGTTTTGTTTGGAGTGAACAACAAATACCACACGGAAAAGAAAAGGAAACGCAGTCTGTGTGCTTTGGTTGCTTTCCATAAAAGTCCCATCAAGCTTGTAAGAAGCTGGCGTACTTTGCACCAAGGAGAAGCCTCTGAATGCACAAGAGAGCGTTCTTGGTAACCTCAGCGTTCTCATGGTTCATCAGCTTCATCACTCGTTCTTTCGCCTTGAGGTCTGTTACAATCACTCTTCCCGCTGCATGGTATTGTATGAACTGTGATAGATCAAAGCATGCCACCGCCAAGGATCTTGGATCAGTTGACGTGTCCAGGATTGTGAGGAGCACCCTGAGTATCTGCATCCATAAGTTTTAACAAAACAAAAGTGGTTATTGTTGCAATGAACCAAACAGGCCCGACCCAGCATGATTTGAGACCTTGGTTGTTGAGGAGAGAGGAATAAAAGAAGAATACCTGGAAGTCATTCTCCTCAAAGCACTTAACATTCTCACGCCAGAAATTGGCCTCTTTGTGCATTGGGTTCCAGTCAAGATGGCCAAGAAGAACCTCTTGCTTATATTTGTCGAAGGAACTCAGCTTCTTGATATTGTCTTTTAGCCCCTCCTCTAGTTGGTTCAGTGCATCCAGCAAGTCCTTCCAAATTCAGAGTTAAACAGCTTTAGCAATGTCAATGCATGCAACAAAGGCATATACTAATACACATCCGATACTGTAGTTATCACTAAATTAAACAGATATTCTCACGACATGTTCACCAATAACGCTGATAAGAAGCAGTACTCAGCTTTATTTAACTTGTCTAACCTCGTCACTCCATGCTTGTGTTTTCAGACTGTGGATAATATGTGGGAGTCCAAGATCAACCATTTGGGCACCAAATGTACCTTTTGGAAGCAAGTTCCTGAATGTCAATATGACCACCCTGACAACCTATAAGACAAAATACCATGTCATATGATCCACAATAACTATGCAAATTCAATATCCAAAACAAAATAAAAGAAACAAAAAAAATCTTCTGTGTTGCAGACAAAGATTCAAGATGACCAACCAAACCAAGTCATATGAAATCTTAACTAATTGCAGGATAGCCATGATTTAGTGACACAAGAGAACATCGCTCACCTTTTCCTTAGTCGAGCTCTTAACCACTTCCGTGAGCCTTTGCATTGTCCTAGAAGTTGCCAAGTACTCTAGTGCTGGTTCATAGTAGGACAGAAGCCAGATGCAGAGACATGTTTCGTAGAGAAGCTGTTGGCCGAGCATACAAATCACAAGAATTAGTTACTTAGACATAATGGCTAAATGGGGGAACTGAAAGAGAACTATATAATGGTTACAAACTTATCCAGCCCACACTTCAGCATTAGGGGAAAATATAAATCAACAGCTTTAGTATTCATTTGAAAATCAAAACGGGTTCCACCTTAGGGGAACTGCAATACTTTTCTACATCTTTAGTACACACTTTTCACTTAAAACTACTTCCACCTAAGATATAAGTTACCTGGATAGACTGCTGAGTGGATGCTGGTGTGATTAAAGGGACAAGTAACTTCACCCCATCTGCCTGAACAAATGATGATCTGACAACAGGTTCCTTAAGCAGAGTCGATAGACAGCTGATTGCAACTGGAGCACCACGAGTAGGATGAGATGGTTGCCTCAACTACATTTCAAAAGTAAGGATTGAGATTGGTGAAGCCTATGATGGACATCAAACGCTTTTCAGGAATCACAGCCAGTTAACAACAATGCAAGGGTAACATAATCGAAAAAAAAAAACAAAGAGCAGACAGAAAAAGAAAAGAAGAACCTGAGCACAAAGCCACTCCACCAACCCATTGAGAACATCATCAATTGTAGTAATAGGTTTCTTAGAAGCAGAGGCTTCTCCATTAGCAATAACACTACCAGCTTTTGGCCTAGCACTGTATGTTAAAAGAAAAGTAAGACCCGCCATGTAAATGATGATGTATGTTAGAGACATGTTTAACATAGTACGATAAACAGTATTGAACTCTACAGTACCTTATTATCCAGGCAAGGATCTTGCAGCTTTTTTCTTGAATGAACCAATTTCCCTTCGACAGCAACCTGAAGGAGGACATATCTTTTAGCTTGCGTACTTTTGAAGATAAACAGCCAAAATAAAGCAAAAATGTAACTGAAAGCAGTTTCCCTCAATAGAGTGTTGCAAATGTTTCAACTTTGTTAAGAAGATTGAAGTTGAAATAACAAACTAACTCATCATGACTAAAATCAGGATCTCAGACAAAACGAGCAAGGGCCAAGTGACTGAACAGACGAAGCAATGAATTCTAACTGGAACCACTACACCATAAGTGCAGAACTAAGAAATCAGGTCATGTGAGAATTTTCACAAAACATAAACACACAGACATATAACATATTAATGTTTTGAGAAAGCTATCTCCTGTAATTAAGTAAGGTCGGGCTCATTTGACACCATAGATGTAAACATAGAACAAGAAAACTAGAAAGGAAATCTGACACGTTAATATGTCAAGTAAGAGACTGGGAAAAATGCAACACGTTCTATACTCTTTCCAAAGCAGAAAGAACAACAAAATATGTCCATACGCGTGGGAAATAGTATTTGCCTAGGCCAAATTACAGTCACACAAAAATTTCATGGGGGATTCACCTCAAGAAAGGCTCGTAAGTATCCTCATGTGCCAAAGATTCATCATGGAATAACCGAGCTCGTGTTGGGTTTGCTGGCAAACAGGTGATTCATTAATATTAGTCGGTATATAAAAAGATGAAAAGGTAAATTCCAATATCTTCAGCTTTAATTTATTTACCTGAGAGCATCTCATAAATCAAAGCCAAAACATATTCCACAGTTTCTTCCTTGAATATATCACGTAAGATGGTAACAAACAGATGAACATAAGCTGGACCATCCTGCAATAACAACACACAGCATAATCACTTCACAATGAAATGGTCAAGATATAAATGCTTGCATTGTCGTTATACAAAATCAACCACTAATAACACAGAAAAAATTCTGTAAACTATTTGAAAAAAAAAGAAGAGCTGTAGAAGAATTTACTTCATCGAGCAACTGTGCCCTTGCACTTTCAGGGTTTTTATCATAGCGCCTTAAGAGTTGAAGACCAGTAGCTGAAATCAGCTTAGTTGTCATGTAAGTCTCCCATGGAATGTCCCTTTTCAACACCTGCAAGGTACAATAACAAGAGAAAATTAAATACAGCAAAACTACAAGTAAAACCATCACCATGTTTGTCAGATTTTTCAATACAATTTCCCCTGACAATAAAGAAAAAACAGATAATTAACATTTCTAGGTAATCAAAGCATGTATTTCGGTTCCAAGTATATTCATAACAAAACAAAGGTTTAAATACTCTACGCAAAGTCAAACTCAAAATCTGCAATTGTGTATGTCCTACGAAACCTTGCAACCTAGAATTCCTGAGTCATCTGATTACCTAATGATAATAACGTAAACGAAGCAAAACTCAAGTGAAAATAAAATGAAATCACCAACCTGCTCCGTAGACAGTTCCGCCTGATCCATTGGATAGCTAAGAAACTTAAACACCACTTTGATATTAAACTGATTCGAATCTCTGCATATGTAAACACAGGAATCATAAGCAAATGACATGAAACCACAAGCGCAAGATCTGATATCATCGTGTTATCAAAATTGAATGGAAAGCAAAACACGATCTACAAGCATCAACGAAATGTCAACACAGAGCAACATAGCAAACAAAATTCCAGTATCTTTCGAAAATCGGATTTGAATCAGATGATCAACAAACAAACAAAAAAATAAGGATCCGATCACTCGAAAAGAAATGAAACCACGAAATCGCAGGAAAGTGGAAGCGAGGTTTGACCTGAAGGCTGCGAAACGAGTTGATCGTGAAGAGAACGGAGATAGATAGATGGAGCTTTCTCCCAAACTCGGATCTGATGCGTGGAAGGAGCTAAGACGAGTCAGGAGGGGCCAAGGCAATCAAAAAAAATCAGACGCTGTCAGTTTTTAATTAAATTACGATATTACCCCTACTCTTAACTCAATTATTACGATCCCTGATTCAGCTTAATATCTTCGTCAATGTGATGGGTTTTTCACTTAGTGGACATGTCATGTACGATATTTTAATTCTTGGGCTTGGGCCGATTTTATCCAATAAATAAAATACTTTTTTTTTTGACATCAATAAAATACTATGTTGTTTTTTATAGAACACATGTCATTTTATTATATATATATATATATGATATAGTAAATCTTGTTTTGGTAAAAATATATAGTAAATATTTTTATACTTTAAATGTTTATTTGTTTTGTTAGATACTTGATTTGTTTAATTGTTTCCATGTCTACAGCTTATGGATTAGTTTCTCCAGCTGTTCAAGTAAAACAAATAAAGAAAAATATCTTAAGCAAGATTCTTTTTGTCAAGTTAAGGAAGTATATCTATCCATAAAATATATAAATGGTATTCAATTCAGATAATAATATAGATTGTATTATCATTTGACATGTGTAATT